AATGGTAATAAAGATACTGTATGAATAAAGTGATTTTTTGACGTACGTACGAACTATGCTTGCACTTGTTTCATTAATGTTTTTGAATCAAAAAATGAATGTTATTGTTATAATAACAAAAAAAAATAACAATAACTTTCTCACCCCTATTAATAAAGGAACTATGTAAAAAAATAAATCGAACGATTTTACGGTAAGTTTTTTTTGCTTTCATGCTTCAAGTGTAGGAAGATTTGAGTTACGGACAATCTATGCACACTCTTGAATGAAGCATGAGAACATGAGTTAGCTGAACAAGACAACTGAAAGATTATATTGTTCACTTGTTTTAAGTAAGTTGATTTCTAATCATAAATTATTTCGTTCAAATATATTTTGCTTCACAATCCAAAGCGTTGGTATAAGTTACATCATCTGTTCTGGTCATATGACTTTGAGAAAAGCTAACAATTACGGGGTATGACTGATTAAACATCGCCAATCGCCCAGAACAGGATGATTGTTTTTTTCGAAAAAAAAACGATTAAAAGTACATTTCGAAACGGTGTAATACTTAAAAGCTTCTGCCAGCTGTCACCCTCAGACAACTCTTATATGTTTTGTCATCGCTCAGTTACAACACGATCACACCGAAATTGATGTCCTACACTAAGTGAACAAAAAAAACTCAGCTTTTCCGTTAATGGATGACTCTAGGTGGTCGCATAATCATATTTTGCTTCTAATTTTTAGTTGATGTGCACTTGGGTAATGAGCTTCTAGTAATATCATGTAATTTTAAAAGTCATTGTCAAGAACCTTTCATTCAATGATGCAAGAACTCAATGAATCGAACTGTGTTCTCTATTCGAGATAATGTGAGAGCTTCCATTGGATTTGAATATGTCTATTGTTTTTTTACTAGCAATACCTAGATTTGCATTGTTAGAAAAATTTTGAACTTTTCAAAACAATTGAAAGACTCTTTATAGAACTCTATCACATTTGAACGAAGCTGTAAAACATCTTTGCATTATTTATGTGCATCGAACGCAACTTACGAATAATAAAATTGAAGAAGAACATGCTCTGCATGAATATGGATCAGAGAGATAGTAGTTGCAAATTTTCGCTTGATTTTACAGTGTAATTAAAAGTTAGGTGTGACTGTTCTAATCTATTTACTCATACCTCCCACTCACACAATAGAGTCCACTCCTTTTTTTCCGATTGCATAGAATTATTGTCCTATAAAAGGATGAGAGGAGAGAAAATCTATCAATAGCAGCCAAAACTTCAGCTTTTATCCTTTAGTATGTCCTTATTGATCAATTCTTTTTGATTTCTCACATAGTCATATGTTGATATCGAAAGGTGATTATTTTAATAGAAAATAAAAGCAAATCTGATAAAACGAAAACGAAACTATATCGTTCACAGTTTATTTATTTGCTAAAAATAGTTGTCCTATGTTGAGTAAACGTACCCTAAAGATTTAACTGATTTGAACTTTTCAACAGAGAAAGTATTTCTTGCAAAAACACTGAATATTAATAGTTTGATCACAGAATATGTAGATTGAATAATCTGAGTCTCTATGAAGGATGTGACAAACAATGCATCAAACTGTGAAACATGTAGAAATAACTGATCAACTCAGAGTCCCATATTCCTTAAAGGTTTGAAGAAGTTGTCAAAGGAATGACTTCTTTTTGAAGAATAATGGCTTACTTTCTAATTAAAATCAAATACAAAATTATCAGGAATAAGTCATGGAGACTTGTATTAACTTAGTGTCTGTGTTTGAAATATTTTTTTCATAGGCTGAAAAATTATTTTCTTTACAATATGTGTTTTCTACAGTGTGAATCAACGATTCGAAAATCTAAAGAACATCATTACGAAAGCTCTTATCATGTTGATATTTCTGAATAGGAAATATAGTTTTTTTTCGTTGTAACTATCATATTTGTGAGGAATATATGTCAAATGACATATCTATGTGTGTTGAAACGCACGGATAAAAATAAAGTTTTTTTGCGAGTCTTGGAGAGTACACTAGGTTCAGGAAGTCATGGCATCACATATTTATATTAAAAATATTTGCATTTTAGAATGATAAATAAACAAGACATTCAACCAAATCAAGTTTACCTTGAGAAATATTCGCTAGTAATTCTTTAAAATATTTCGGAATTATTTTCTGTTTAACTGCTTGTAAACCTTGTAACCAACCGTATTCAGCAACATTATTTAATGCTAAATCATACAAATTGTCGTGATCTAGAATTTGAATTCTTTTAAATAATTCAAATAATTTTGGACGATAGTATTCACGTAAAGCTTGAATTAATACTGATTCCTTTGTATTTTTTAGTTCAAGCATGACATTTTCATTCATATAATTAGAAAAATCTTCTATACATTTTAAGCCATCATTGGTTATTGCACACCATAGATCATTGAATACGTTTCTTTCATTGGGACATTTAACATCAATACCTTCAAATAGAAGTTGCAAAACAATTGATAAGATTGGGCAATCTTTCAAGTATTTATTCCCATATTCAGCTGTGCGATTCAGAATAGAATTATAATTCACGGAATCTTTATATTCTTTTAAAAATTTAATAAACCACTGATTTGAAGAACCGTACTTTACTATCCATTTTTGTTCTAAATATTTTTTCAGAGATTTCATCAAATCACCATCCTTTTCATTTATTGCTGCCGCATAGATATCTGGTAGAAGATCTTCTTCATACTTAGACAATGATTGTCGACCATTTTCTAACAAATCATTTACAATTGTATCTTTTATTTCATATGCTTCCAACTTAAGAACACGTATTATTTCATTCTTGGCTAATTTTAACACATCTTCATCGGTGAAATTATCAAGCTTTCCTATTGAAGAAAAATGAATTATTGATGAGCAAAAGAGGGAGTGAGTATGGAGTGTGCCTGTGCCTGTAGTTGTTCGTATAGACTAAATCTATACTCACATCACACTTCAAATACTTAAAGACTCCAAATATTTAATGATCCAAAGAAATGCATACCAGCGTGTAATACATTTTACTGATGGGAAAATTGTTCGCACTTATGGAATAATGCTCCTTTCTGTCTCAAGTTGTACATATCAAGAAAAGGCAGAATTTAAGCATGTACAAATATCTGTCATTCACGATGTTCCTCAGTACATTTTCATTCAATTAGCCATCTATCTCGTAAGATAAAAAGTGACAGGATTATTATTTGCTCTCTAGTTATCTTTGACTACTACATGTGACGGTAGAAACTATTGGAGGATTTTTCCTTTGTTAATATGTAATTTCTTCTCGCTCAAATGGACACAAATAACGCCTGTTTTTTACCTCTTCAGTTGTGGGTTATCTCTGCTGAGAACGAAACCATTTCCTGTCTTTGAAGTGTCCTGTTCATCCCTAAGAGTCTACGAAGGAATACATGATAGACATTCTTTGTCAGCGAATGACTGAGAAAAAAGAGAAAGAAATAGAAACTAGAAGATGATTGCTTGTACAACTCTCTCTTGCACAAATCATGACACGGCTGCAATCAGTAGATGCGGACCTGGGGTGGATGCAGTTGCCTCCGTGTGTTCTGACATACTCGTTGCTCCCATTCATCCCATCAGCTACATTTACACAAATGAGGATATCCACACTCTCATTCACACTATCATTGATTGATTAATCATTCTATGGACACTAATTAGTCAACTTCTAGCTTGGAGAGTAATCCAGTTGACATCTTAGCCTTGCTTTAAAAGTTAAACTTGAAGTTATACTTTAAATTTTACTACGTAATTAATACTGAAGTCGATAGACGCGATTATGGGTGCTGATATCGGTTCGACTGGTGCTATTAAAAATACTCACATCCACCCTTGAAAAAAAAAAGAAACTGATCATACACGTATATCTTTGAGTTACCTGCGCCAGCACGTGCAGTAGCACTAGTTGTTGACAATGGTCCATCCTCCGCTTGCAGAATGTTATGATCCGTCATAATTAGAGAAATAAGTTCATCAATTTCAACAATGACAGCTTTTACCTATAGACAAGAAATCATGAAATATAATTAAATTCATTCAATTTAATTTTACTTTTTCATATTTGCAAGTCCATTGTTTATTACGTTTTATATCCATGCAGTACACATAAATCGACTTAATTTGTTGAAGTCCATGAATAGAAGGCACTATAACTTCTCCCAATCGACCATTAACAATAATTACCAGTCGATCGTATTGTGACTGCTCTTCAATATATTTCTGACATTGTGTTACATCTTGAAATTTCTCCAAATGACTAGTAATAGAGTCCAGCTTTTGTTTTGCATCTTGAAACCCTTTGTCATTCACATTATCATCAAGCCAAATCATTCCGGAGAACACTGTAAGGAAAATCCGTAAAATAATACACGAAAAAACCTCTTTGATAATGTAATAAATGGAAAAGGGTTTAAGAGTTTGCAGCGAGACATACTTTTCTGTATATCACGAAGATGATACTTGTTTTTTCGGATTATGATTTGAAAAAGAAAGGTTTATGAGATATTTCAAAAATGAAAAAAGAAGGGTTTATGTCCCTTTGTAAGTTCCCAATGCCTGTTTTTTATAGTGAAGTAGGAATAGATACTATCGGCGTTTTTGTGCAATGCTACTGACTTTGAATACATAGAATAAAAACTTTGAATGCTAAATATTCGATTTCGCTATCGAATATATGAGTGATGCAAGCACTTACAAATGGATATTACACTCTCCCTTTTATCAGTTTATTTAGTGCTATTCATAGTATTGTTCTATTTTTCTAATTTTACTTAGGGCATACCAAAAGCTCAGGCAGTGACAGTTTAATATCGTTTAGTAGGCTTAAGTAATCTTTCTTCTATACAGGATGATAGAGAAAAAAGAAGCTCTATCTTTCTATACTATTTGATCATACTTCAATTAACATCATAATATTAAATTATCTATAAAACCTATTTCGGCTGGTTGTGCAGCGGTTGTAGGAGATCATATTTTGTTTTTCAACATGTATCATCTTATTATTATTCTCTTTATTTTTTCAAGTTTTGTATGTCATCAGATGTTCAAAATAATCGCCATCGTTATCTATACACAAATGCATGCGCTGAACCCATTTATCAAATGTTTTTCTATATTCTTCTTTATCTAAAGAGTGCATGAAGTTGGACACAGCACGACACAACGATTCTGAGTTGTTTTGATCGGTCAGATTCCGTTTGATTAAGTCGAATAACCAAAAATCACATGGTGATAAATCAGGAGAATAAGATGGATGTGGTATTATTGTAATACCTTCAGACTCGAGGTAATTCGACACATCCTTATCAGCATGTGGTCGCCCGCTATCATGATGAAGGTTAATACCTTGAACACCATATGAAAGTCTTTGCTTTCTGATGTTGTTAATGAGTGGTTTTAAACAATAATCAATGTAATATTGATGGCCGATAGTTTGCCTCCGTTCCACATAATGAATCAAAACAGGACCAGTAGATTTAAAAAAGATGCTAAACAATGTTTTCGGAGAAAAAATACTTTGTCGAACCAATGTAAGTGGAGGATCACTTCTCGCAACCCACGCAGAATTTGATGATTTCGGCCAATTTGTGTGTGGTAGGACCAGGATCCATCAGCTGTTACCACATCACATAGCCGCCATGCACCTGATTCGAATTTTGCGAAGTTCTCCTTGCATATTCGAACCAGTTCAGCTCGTTGAAAATCAGTTAGCTGCTTAGGTAAAGCCCTCGACAGATTAGGATACCCCCGTGACAAAATCGATTTTTTTACAAATAATTTCTGGAGTTTATTAACTTTTTTAGTATTTAAGTCCATAATTGTATCTTAGATCAGTATGAACAATATTTTGCTTCATTCATGAAAATGATGCATCAGTTCGAAGTGAAAAAAGTCTTGCGAAACGATGAATAGGAAATAACTATTTAGTAAAGAACGTATTTCTTTATAGAACACATATCATGGAATCTTTTTAGGGGTCTTTTGCAGCATATCCCGAAGGAATTTTTACGGTTCTCTATACAAAAAACTTCTCATGACCGTTGGTTATGATGGACTTAGTGAAGAACCGTGGATGTAACGCATGAAGAGATCTTTGTAAAATAGTACCATATTAGGTGAAACTTCATTGCCTAATAATTAAAAAGCCTCATTATCTGGGATTTCTAGAAATTCTGAAACATATTCATCACAAAGGATTCTTTCATAATTGAAAAACACGTGAACTCATGGATATACGCTCAAGACAGAAACGAATAAGAAAATCTCAATTCGGCAACATCTTCGATCGGATTCAATTCGCCTCAGACAAATTCAATCGAATAAGATCATTCGACAATTCCATTTGGTTTTCGTCTCTCAAACGCATCGGTTTTTTGTAACTACTTCTCATGAGACTCAAAACGCATTTCTATTATCAATAAAACCTGAAGTCAATTTTTAAAAAAAGACCGAGAAGAAAACACAAAATGTGTATCCAACTACTCTTTCTTTATTAATTGCTTATTCTTAATACAAATGTATTCATTGACGTAAAACAATAAATTTAATTGAGTTTGATAAAACAAGTTAATTCTTTTTCTGAGTTATTTAGTTATTGAGAAGTTAAAATTTGTTCAATGGCAGATCTTATTTTTTAGAAAAAAAACTATTAGTGAACATTTTACCAAGGTGTTCAGATAGGTTTCCTTTAATATTCTAAGAATATTTACTATCAATGATAGACTCTCTTTTTTCACAGGATAAAATTTGTTACCATCTCATCATACACATGTCGAATAAGTAAAATAGTGTTTTTCTAACAATTATGTAGAACAAAATTGAATTGAAACAAAAATTTGTTGGAAAGGCTGGTGAAAAATATAACTTTTTAGGGGACATAATAGAAGACCCCCCTTGTAACTTATGAGCGATAAGACAGAATAGAAGACTCCGGGTCTTCTAATGTGTCGGTAGCTTTACATAACGAGCGGTAATTTTTCTAAGGTTCAGATTATCAGAGATTATTCGTTGAACAGTGCCATGACTAAGATTAGTTTGTTCTTGCAGTTGTTCTATTGTGATATACGGATTATCATTGATAATGCTTTGGACTGGTTCAATATTTTGAGATGTGGTTGCAGTAGCAGGTCTTCCAAATCATGTTTCGTCTTAAATCTCTTCTCGACCTTCACGAAAATATTTAGACCATTTCGCAACAGTCTTAAAAGAAGGAGCTTCGCTGCCAAAAATAGTACATAATTCATCATGAATAATTGTTGGTTGAATATTAAGTGCATTGCGCACTTTAATGTAAAATCGAAAATTTTCCCTATCCGTCTGAAAAGAAACATGCGTCTTTCTCTACATATATACACATATCAATGACTAAGTGTCAGAGAAGAAGAGAAAAGAAAAGAAGAGAAAATATGAAAAGAATTAAGAGAATGATAATAAGATGATACATGTTGAAAAACAAAATATGATCTCCTACAGCCACTGCACAACCAGCCGAAATAGGTTTTATAGATAATTTAATATTATGATATTAATTGAAGTAGGATCAAATAGTATAGAAAGATAGAGCTTTTTTTTCTCTATCATTCTATATAGAAGAAAAAATATTTAAGCCTACTAAACGATATTAAACTGTCACTGCCAGAACTTTTGGTATGCCCTACAAAGAGAAGAAAATAATAAGGTGGTTAAATACATAGAAGAAAATGACTTTCGTCTGAATGTTCACTTTCATATGCGAGATTAATTGACCCAGGTGTGAAACTCTACCATAGTATTTTATTTCGTTTAATGAATCAAGAAGGTTCTAAATCAAACTATCTAGTGTTACACTAAGTACAGCGCTATCGCTTGTAAATGTATATATACTTCATTTTGAATCAGTATTAGTCATAATTCTTGTCTTTACTTCAGAAAATTCATGCAGAAAACTTAGTTGAATCAATGAATTTGTTGAGTTGTGCATTCAAAAAGTGTTACTTCTGATCTGATGGAAAAAAGTCTAATATTCCAGAGTTAGATAGACTGATACTGAAAGATAAATAAGGACAATGTTGATATAGATGTCTCATCTTCGTCGACGTTTTCAAAAATACATTAGCAAAATCTGAATTGTATTTTGCATTGTCTGAATATTATTCAAAATTTCCATTAAGATTGTTGTCAAGATCATATAAGATTATAATCGTGAAGTCTTTTTTAAAGTCAAAAATGTCTAACAAAAACAAGATTAATCTTTTCTATATTCAAGGAAATAATTCAGTCCATTCACATATCATATCTATTGCTCAGTAGAAGAAATCTCTCTCAAATAAGAAGTTTTTTCTTTCGGTTATTTTGCCTTTAAATATTAGATGGTATTCTGCTGAGGTTTTAGATGAATGCATGAAAAGAAGAAAAAACTTTTATTGTGGTGTTTACTTTTCTAAAGCTAATAAATCCACTGATAGAATGTGCATTATTTGAAAGCAAAAGTGAGCAAATATATCAGTCATGTTCATTAAAGGTTGTAAGGAAGCCTGTTGGTGCTTTTGCGAAAATTGACGTACAGTTTGAACTAAAAGGACAAGGGTTCCTTTTACCATAGACAATAGTCGCCATTTACCTTTTTCTTTTACTGTCACTCAAGCTCCAAGTGCAAATTCTATCTTTTGTTCAGAAGTACCTATCATTTCAAAACTGGAAGTTTAATAGAATTTGAGTTAGAATTTAAAGTATTCAAGGCACTATGCAATAAGGCATATAACATTAAATCATAATCGGTTTTCTTGAAATTTTCAATTTCTGAAGGGTGACTACATCCCTGTACACTTGATTAATTTATCACTTCTATCAGGACGATTTTCAAAAGGAGAGAAATTCTAATCAGTCTTACAAAGCATAGCACAAATGCTTTTTGGTTTCTAAGAATGAAGTGCGAAAGTTGTTGACATAATTGACTCGTGTAATACGATGCGATTAGACCTAACAGAACTTTCTGTTCTATGAAACTATTCATTTTTGAGAATTCAACTGCTTTTAGACCTCCGACAGTTGAATCCCATAAGTTCAGGTGAACCTTAGTCGACTCTCACTCGCGAAGTCACCGGTGTGTCCCTTAAAAATTAGGAACTCCCTGGTGAATCCCCAGGGAATCACCTTTATTCTCCCTGGTAAATCCCAAAAGATAAAAACTCCCCAGGGAGTCCCTAGTGAGTCCCGGGGGGACTTTTTAGGGAATCACTAGGCTTTAGGAAAGAGGGAGAAAAGTACAAACTCCCCAGGGAGTCCCTCTATCGGGGAATTCCGAAAGAGTTATTTTCTGTACAATTTCCTCCATAAAGTACAGAAAAATTGAG